CCCGCCCTAGGTACTGCCCCGCAATCTCCAAGCCTAGAGTGTTGCGCTTAGTGTCCACTCTGAGTTCTCCAACAAATCGAACATTGTTGAATGCCATGCTTCGTTAGTTCTGTTCATAAAGTCACTCCCATTGTGATTCGCTTCTTGTTTGGCCATGACCACAATCTTCGGCTCTATTTGTTTTATTAAATCCAACACTTTCTCAATTGCTCCTGGAATGGAAAACAGAGTTCACAGCCACTGCTTCCACATTACTGGGTCTAATATTCAACATCGATGCTTGAAGATCAGCTAAAGTATGGACCACACGTTATTCAAAGCTACTTTTGTTTAAGCCATTCCAAACGGGCTCTAAGTCTTTTTATGTCACTGATTAGTACATCCGCTAGGCTTAGGTTGTTCTCTTGGATCGCCTCGGCACAAGCCATTAACGTATTGACAAGTCTAACGCTGGTCTCTTCTTTCACTGTCCTACCCAGCAATAAACCGCTACGAAATTCAGATCCACCGCGAGATTTCAGTCTGTTGTTGCAAAATGCCCTGAAATCAACATTAAATATCCTAATCTCTTGATGATCATGAATTTGCTTATTATTATTAAACCAGCTGGAAGATGCACTTGATGATACAATCATCGAATCATCACCATCACCAGCAGTCGATATCTGTTGCTGGCAGTCGTCTACACTGGTAGAAGAGGACGAATTAGGAATATTGTTATCTGAGATCAAACTGTGAGTCCACCCTGAGATATCAGAAGCAGCGTAGATGATTGCATCTGTTTCAGAAACAAAGGAATCTTCATCTTCCATAATTGTATCCATGGACATCTCTCCTGAACTCATCTTTTTTTTTTTTTTTTTGGGTAAATTGCTGGAGTTACCTTCGTGCTTCCTTAATATAAGTGAGGTTGTGACATAGTCAATTTATGTTATCTTTTTAGTCATTTAGGAGACATTTCTCTTTCATTTCATACGCTCTTTAAATTAATAAATATTAATTTATCATTAAATAATACATCTACAAAATAATAATATTTTATGATCTCACCTATATTAATTTAGTGAGGTTTTATTGTATATATATATTTATTTATTTATTTTTGGTTACTGTATATATTCTTTCTTATTCTATTTTGTCTCTTTTTTTTTAATTTGGAGTGTAACTGTCAAATTTTTAGATAACAATATCATGTAAAATTTCAGACGAGTTATTATGTTAAATATAAGATTGCGAACGCAGGGGTGACACCCCTTTCTTAGAAAATTTTACTAGTTATCCGTTGGCGTGTAGATGAGGGATACCTACAAGACAGAGATAATTAAGCCAAATAAGTTTGTGTATTATCATGTTTGAAGAGTTGTTGGAAAATCAAATCTACATCCATCTCGGGTAGGCCATGTTATGTTAGAAGAAGAGAGAGGAGCAAAATTTCGCTTATGTATAGTGTCTGAAGATGGATCGGTCTTATTCATTCTTTTCGATCAATAAACTCTTATATAGCCACGCTGACAGGCTATACTAGCTTGACACCTGCATGCAGTGATAGAGATGGATGATCAGTAGGTCCGCAATTGACTATATATGAATTATTTTTATTAATTTGGGTCAAGTGATTTTTATCGTCCATGCAATATTAGTACTACTCTTTAATTTGTGTGGCTTGCACATGCACAAGATATTGTGCCAATCTTGGTACCAACACAACACAATAACAATAATATTTCTAGTGAAATTTTACAAATGAAGTTTGAAAAAGACAGAATGTACACAAATCTTATCACTATCTTATGGAGGCAAGAGATTGAAAGACTTTCGACTTAAGAACAGCAAATTTAAGTACAAAAAAGAAGAAAAAGGTACTATAGAAAACATAGCAAAACCTAGAAGAAAGGAACAAGAACAACATAACAATGCGGTAGTTGATACACATTAAACAACAAACGATGATATTTATGTAGATAGATAATATATATAAGCAACAATAACAACGACAAATACTAACAAGTTTACACCCTCGAAAAGCAAAACAACCCTCTAGCGATTGCATACTAGTTTTCTACTCTAATACGCAACCTAGTACTATAACACAACACACGCACTACATAAAAAATAATCTTTAGCGGCAATTAATTAACGGTAATAGCTCAATTGCCGCTAAATATGTATTTTTAGTGGCAATTAACACTCTTTGTATATGTCCCTAAAGCCTTTAGCGACATTGGATCTAATGACACTTAATTAATGCCGGTAAAGACTTTAACACACTTTATTAATATGTCTATTTATTGTCGCTAAAAGTTATTTTTGTTATAGTGACATAACTTAATTACAACTATATATCAAACACAACAATCTAACTGCCTGATTAACTAAATTTGGTACAAAAAGACAAATACTGTTTTTTAGGGAAAATGCATAAGTACCCCCAACCTATGCCCGAAATCTCAGAGACACACCTAACCTTTACTAAGGTCCTATTACCCCCGAACTTATTTTATATATAATTTTCTACCCCTTTTCGGCCTACGTAGCACTATCTTGTGCGCCCAGCACGTGTTGACAATTTTTTCAAGGATAGTGTCACGTAGGCCGAAAAGGGGTAGAAAATTATATATAAAAGAAGTTCGGGGGGGTAATAGGACCTTATTAATTAAAGGTTAGGTGTGTCTAAGGGATTTTGGGCATAGGTTGGGGGTATTTAGGCATTTTCCCTTTTTTTTTAAAAATAAGTAATGTTCTTACAATATTTTATAGTATTTGGTTAGTAAGGAATGAAAAACATTATGGCTAGGTGGAGTGAAGAGGATGGGAAGCTTTATAATGTTATTTTTAAAATTTATTTATTTTCTTAATAAAGTCATTTTACTTATTTCTTAAGAAACTTATTTTTTAATTAAAAAATGACCTATCAGATGCCCTATATCAATAAAAAAAATTATAAGTCATGACCTAAATCAATTTTTTACACACTTCACCAATTATATTAAAATAAATTATATGATCAGAAGGATTCAATGGTTTTATATACATAAATAAACAATTTTGTTTTCACGTGAGTAAAAGTATAAAAGAAATAAAAATATATAGAGAAAAGATATATAAATTAATTTGTATTTATGGTATATATGTGATCCATATGTAAGTTATCCAAAATGCATGTGTCGAATCATAGTGAGTTTCGACGATATTGTAACGTAGGAAAAGGTAAACTAGAAATAGCAAATATATTTATGAATGACCTAGTTGTCCAGCTAGAGGATAAATTTCCCCATCACCATTTAATTTCATGTACTATCATTTCCAGCCTAACGACAATTATTATGAAAGTGACTTCCATATATACCCCCTACCCCTCCCCCACCCCCCATATAAACACACACACAGAGGTCCAAGACATAATTGGTGTTTTTGGTCATGTAAAAATCAATGTACTACAAGATTATGTTACCTTTTCTTTTAGCAATGGCACATGTCGCAAGAAACTTGTGGTTTAAAATAAATGATAGAAATTTGTGTAGCTATATATATCATTTTATTAAGGGTAAAATAAATATTTTAAAGTTAAATTGTTACTTAATATAAAAATATGTCATTCTTTTTTGAACAGACTAAAAAAGAAAATAAGTCATATAAATTAGGAGAGAACATATTTTTTATTAAGAGACATGAATGAAAGTGAAGGAAGAGAGTATTTATTTAACAAAACAATATCTCTAGTCAACAGAGGGATCGTGATCCAAACAATATACGGATCCATTTGGACATATATTGTTTTTAAAAATAATAAATTGAAGACGCGTTTCATATTTGAAAAAGTCATTTTTGATTAGTTTTCAACTAAATTATTTTTTCCACACAATTTTTTTAAAATTTATTTTCAAATATTATATTCTACTTTCTATTAGCAAACACTTACTAACGACGTACATAAAGGCTTGATTCGAGAAATGTTGGACATTAATTCTACACCGCGTAATTTTCTTGGCAATTGCCGATTGAGTCTTGACTTGTTTTTTTTTTCTACCAATCAAGCCTTGGTTCGACGGTTATTAAAATAAAAGATAAAAAATGACTTAAAATAAATTAAATACGATTCAAAATAAATCAAAAATTAAAAGTAGGTTTTTCCTAACTTTTTATTTTTTTGAATTAAAAGTCATTTCAATTTGACTTTTTATTTTTAACTTAAAAATTATTCTTTTTTTTTAAAGCCAATCCAAACGGGCTCCACATGTCAATGTTTCAACAATTACAGAAAATTTCCATCAGGTCTGCAGTCTGCCTACACTGTGGCCTCAGCTAGAACTGTGACAGAAACTTACACACATCTCGACTATTCCATGACTGAAAACCTAAAAGATAGCGGTAGATGAGAGTTAACCCTTAAATGCAAAGCTATACGGGCGATTGACGTACCAAATTTACAAATGTAACTTATAAACTAAGGAGCTTTCATCTTGAAAAAAGCAGTAGCCTGACTCTTGAATAAGCACCAAGAGTCGTGAAACTAAAGAGTCCTAATTTTAATTTGTTCGAACTAACATGAAATATAGCACCAAGAGTCATGTTTCTTTATGTTAGCTTACTTATGTTTTAAATATATCTAGAACTTTAGTTTTTTGCTCTCTTTTCGGTTCTCAATTGACTTGTAATGACTGTGAAAACGTCTATTAAATTTTAGTTGAACCTTTTCATGTGTAACAAGAAGCTAGTTTAACGCTTCACTTATAGTAGTTGTCGGCAATCTTAGTCCCAAGCCTATGAATGAGGGAAGCAGATTAATGCTCTTCTTTTCGTTTCTCAATTATGGATTTTTGTGTAAGAAGTCTATTGTGCTCCTTCTCTAATACCACTGCTATATGTGAGGGGGCATCCCTTCTTCACAAGGGATAGATCATTGTCCTTGCGTTGTTAAGGGATTCAGCCAAATGTGACAAGTGATCCTATAGAGAATAACAAAAGAAAAGTATAATCGGGTACATTAAGGAGGAAACTTCTATAGAGAATAAGAGAAGACAAAACTTTTATACAGAAAATAGTGTTACAACACAGACAATTATATTACAAGTTCTGAATATGACATTAAGGAGGAACATCCAGGTGCTACCCTCAACAACAACAACAACAAATCTAATGTGGCCCCATACGCAGGTCTGGGGAGGATAGAGTGTACCCAAACCTTACCCATATCTCATGGAGGTAAAGAGACTGTTTTGAAAAGATTGTGCCCTTTGCATTATCAAATTTAATGGCTACTGCAGAGATTCTCTCAATAACAGTGAGGTCGAAGAAAAGAAGCATCTTACAAATGTTATCAATTTGGACTGTCTGATACATCTAAGACAGTACCTGTAAACAGTAAAAGAAGAGTAACATATAAAACTACGTATTGGATGATGCAGGACAACTACAAAGAAACCTTCTCAGAGTAGCAGGATTTTCCAGGACAGCTGCAGAGCAACCTCACCCATTGACTAATCCCTAGACTTGGCGACATAGCCGCACCAAGCAGATGTGGTGAAGAGCGGGCGACTATGACAACTCAACATAAGACACCCATCTTTCTCCTCTACTCTATATCCTTCTTCATTTGTGAACAAGGCCAATAACATGTTTGCATTTCTGTACGTATTTGAACCCAGGGGAACCAGGTTGAACCCTGCAGAGTTAAACCTCACTCGCCATTGACTCAACGTCTCGTGTCGCACAATTTGCTTAGTTCCTTCGCAAGCCACCAAATTATAGACCTCCCGCCCTAGGTACTGCTCCGCCATATCCAAGTCTCGATTGTTGGTCTGAGTTGACTCTGAGTTCTCCAGCACGTAGAACATTGTTGAATAGTAAAGCCATGCTTCCTTAATCCTGTTCATATAGCAACTCCCATTGTGATTCGCTTCTTGTTCGGCGATGGTCACAATCTTCGGTTGTATTTGTTTTATTAAATCCAACACTTCCTCAAATGCTCCTGGAATGGAAAACAAACGGTGAAGCTCAAAAACAGAGTTCACAGCCACTGTTTCCACATTACTGGGTCTAATATTCAACATTGGTGCTTCAAGATCAGCTAAAGTATGGACCATGAATCCACAGAATTCAAATTCTACACGAATTGACTCTGCAAATTGGGCGAGTTTAAAACCAACTTCCCGTAAGGGATCGCTACCTTCATGAAACTTAGGTTGGCCACTAATTCCTGAGAGCCGAAAAGCTGGTGGACCGCCAGGACGCAAAGCGAGAGCCTGCAAAAGTGCCGGCCATTGCAAACCTTGATTCAAGCTGAAATCAATTACATGTACTCTCTTGGAATCAGCGAAGGCCTCCAAAATGGATTGATTGGCTGAGAAGTGCGCGAATTTGAGTAAGGGGCAACTCTCGTAGAAGCTCATATGCAAGAGTTGGTCCGTGGAATAGAATGATTCAACAATATCTCGTGGATTCAATCTGTGAATCTTATGATACAAAGCTCCTGCAAAATAAGTCGCCACTTTCTTCATTGTTCCTCCAATTGTAAATCTTCTTAATTGACTGTTTAGTACATCCGCTAGAGTTAAGTTGTTCTCTTGGATCGCCTCGGCACAAGCCATCAACGCATTGACCAGCCTAATGCTAGTCTCTTCGTTCAATGTCCTACCAGTATCTGGCAATAAATGGCCGCGAAATTCGGATCCACCGCTGGTGTTGTTGCAAAGTGCTCTGAAATCAACATTAAATATCCTAATCTCTTGGTGATCATCAATTTGTTTATTATTATTAAACCAGCTGGAAGATGCACTTGATGATACAAACATCGAATCATCATCATCACCAGCAGCAGTCGAAATCTGATGCTGCTGGTGGTGTACGTTTACACTGGTAGAAGAGGACGAATTAGGAATATTGTTATCTGAGATCAAACTGTGAGTCCAGCCTGACATATCAGAAGCAGCGTAGATGATTGCATTTGTATTAGAACCAAAGGAATCTTCATCTTCCATAATTGTATCCATGGATATCTCTCGTGAACTCATTTTTCTTTTTTTTGTGGGGTAAATTGCTGGAATTACCTTCCTCCTTTTATTATCTTTTCTTTCTCTTTTTAGTGTTTTCGGAGAGATCTCGCTTTCATTTCATACGCGTAGAGGATCGATCAAGCATTGTACTCTCTCAGCTCACCTTTGATTAGTTAATAACTATTTATTATTTACATGTAAGTGAACGGGGAGACTATTTATTTAACAAAACAATAACTCTAGTCAACAAAGGGATCGTGATCCAAAACAAAAGACAGGTCCCATTTGACATATATTGTTTTTAATTTGAAAATAACAACTGAAGACGTGTTTCAAATTTGAAAAAAGTTATTTTGATTAGTTAGTTTTCAAGTGAACTATTTTTTCCATTCACAATTTTTTATTTATTTTCAAATATTATATTCTACTTTCTATTAGCAAACACCTACTAAAATTGCGAGGAAATTTTGACTGAATTTCCTTGGACATGTCTAACGACGTAGATAAAGATTTGATTCGAGAAATGTTGGACTTTTTTTAAAAAAAAAATCCAAATCTAACTTAAAAACTAAGGAGCTTCATCTTGAAAAAAGCAGTGGCCTGTCTCTTGAATAAGCACCAAGAGTCATGAAACTAAAGAGTCCTAATTTTAACTTGTTCGAACTAACATGAAATATAGCATAGAAGAAATTTAAGAGTCAACTGACATAACAAAGGTTGAAAAGTTTAGCCACGACTAACTATGATTCTCGTTTCACTGCTCAACAAAGCCCTCACACATTTATTTATTTACACTACACCCTGGTGAAATCATCAAGAGAGCCACTAAGATCAAAAAAGGAAGTTCAGCTGGCCTTTGCAACAGGGAAGTGCAGTTTTGTGATAGAGTTCTGAAGAAAACTTCTCCCACAAAATGGATCTGGGCTGTCAATATCAAAATCCACAACGCTAGACTGTACCTCGCTCGACGAAGGTGTGATATTGCTATCATCCAGAGGATGGTTACTTATCTGAGAACTCTCTCCATGTTTACGAGCTTGCTTCTTGTCTCTACCCTTGCTCCCTCGTGACGATTTGCCATTGTTTTTCTGCTTATTCTTCCCATTCTTCTTCTTGCCACTCTTATGGCTTTGTCCCTTGTTTGGGTTTGGCAAATGTGACACTGATGTTGGAATAGGATCATAAACATCTGGAGCCCACGTTACCGTCAGCTTCCTCGGTAGACTGCCTTGTTTCTCACGGCCACCTTTTATGGCAGATACAAGCTTCAAAGGAGTCTGTGAATAAATAAAACACAGAAGGAAAGAGAAAAAAACAGGACTGTTAACATCTGCAGTTACTTGATTGCTCAACCGTGAAACAATCGCCATTTAGAGTCGCTCTCTGTATCTGAAACAGCAGTTCTATGCTCCAGTGCTGTTTCCACTATACTGTAACTTCAGTGTATGATACAACTAGCCACATTGCTTACAATACAAATTAAATCCAAGAAAGCCAACAAATAATGGCTTGTGGGAGTCATATTGCTGACAACCCCAAGGAGAATGCAAAGACCAGAAGCAGCATACCAGGGAAAGGTGGTCAGAGTATAACCAAAAATGCAAAAACCAATATGTGGGTATGAATGAATATTTGTGTGTATTCACTGTATCCTATTCTTTTTTAACAAGGTATATTGTACTCTATCTGTCCCAATTTATGTGGCACTTTATCAAACAGTTTAAGTTTGACTGAGGGTTTGCGCATGGAATCTTCAATTTTTTTGAAATGAAATTTATATATTTGTAAACTACATAAAAAGTACTATAAGTCACAATAATTGATAATTCAAACTGTTTAAAAGATCTATGAAAAAATAACGGTCAAAGATAGACTTGTTTGAATCTCAAAATTCGAAAAGTGCCACATAAAATGGGATAGAGGGAGTATTTCTTTTACCAATATGTTTTTTTCTTTTCTTGATATAATACATAACCTATTCATGAAAAATGGATAGCAAAATGAATCCTACACTGAATCGACCATAACCAACACATATCTCAGAAGAAACTGAAACATGGTACACAAACCATTGAAAAATCCTAACAGTAGTATTCATGATGACCTAGTACTCAATGTCAAAGTATATAAGACCGAGCAACTAAAAACCAAAAGCAAGTCATGGTTACAAACAACTCAAACCAAAAACTTAATCCAAGAAAGACAGGAAATTGTGGTTTGTGGGATTCAAATCAATAATTACCCCAAGAAGAACAGCTAAAAACCGAAAGCAACATACCACAGAAAATTGGTCAAACCAGATCCAAAGAAGGATATAAAAAGAAGGAGAGAGTGAGTTCATTCCTACGTTTCAAACAATCATTCTATATAATAATCATATGTAATACACATCCATCCCTGAAAAAGTAAACGAAGAACCAATCCACACAGACTAACACAACAAACCTTACCATTAATACTTTCTTTTTTAATACTCATGTACCTCACCATCAACACTTCACAAGTAGTATTTAAGATTACCACCAACTCAACTGATAAGTAACATAAAGCAGACAACTGTTGATTGTCTTAATGAAAACAAGATATATGTACGTATTGGCCAATATATTTTCACGGATAACAAATAGGCAAAAAGATCAAGAAGTCCTCTTTCATAATATCAATACACCAAGGATAAGGAACTTGATGAACATTATTAAAGACACAGAAAACTCACTGGCAGAGATATGGAACGTGAGTAAGGCAAATCAGGAGATTTAGCATCAGCACCATGTGTCATTACTTCAGCATTCATGTCACCCTCTAGCTCCTTCCCACCAAATTCTGCAGGAGGCACGCTAATACCAGAGCATGGAAATGTTGCACATTTGATCAAGCATTTTACAGAAGCATTACCAGAGTCACTTCCATGGGAATCTTTAGTTACATCTTCCTTCACAGTCTCAACATTGCACTTATCATTTGAGTCTTCAGCATCCTGAATATTGAGATAATCAGTGAAATGGTGGCCAAGATCATTTACAGAAAGACCACCTATATTTCCAAAAGCACAATATTGCGTCCCCTTTGATGACTTGCAATGAACGCCTACATTTTCAGACGCCGACTTGTAGCTAGCAGGGCAATCGTCCATCAATTACAAAGAAAGCAGCAAAGACCTGCCAAAATATGCAAAGAAAATCTAAGCACAATAGTATCAAGAACGATCATTTGTAGAACTAATGTAGACAGAAAAAGGAACTGCATTAGCAACAAGCTATGATTTTCTCTGCAATCTACGATTAACCTTTGAACCTTTAATATTCCAGCCATCTTGCATGAGCTGAAACAGATCTAGAAAACAAGGAATCATCAAACCAATCAAATGCAGTAATTACTTCTATACAAACCAGTCTATTCAATAAAATCAGATAAGGATCTTACATGCCATTCAGATGCATCAAAAAACCAACAATCTACCCACAAGGTTTATGAAATAAGAATGATCAAACAACTTTTAAACGCACAGGTAAAAATGGGAGAAACCCAACCACCACCAGTAGCAAATCCTGCATATATCATGCGCCAGTTAACTTTTGTACAGACCATGTATATATAATAAGTCATAAGAAATCAACTAAATATCTATAAATATTTTATTGTGAAGCCAGGATGTTCCTGGGTTCAGATGAACTCATAGATTAATTGGATAAGCCCCTGGACATACCAATATACAGAATTTACATATATGCATATTTTACATGTTTTTACACTTAGATTAGATTACTGTGCATATGGTTATGTGACTAATCTATGAGCCGTATATAATATATGAAATTGAATTCCTACTACATAAATTGCTGTCACATCCTTTAGAGACCTTCTAGATGTATATTACTTACTCCCTGCCCCGTATCTCTTTTTCTATAACTTTACGTATTAAATACTAAGCACCAGCGAACCACATGACTGATTGCGATACAGTTGGATGGCTACTTTAATTGTAAGCCCAACCACTTTAGTTATGTGATTGCTCAGAGTCTTTATTAAATTACCATTTTATTCTTGTTTGTCGGGCTGCGTTTCATTTGGATTCTTAGATGCTCCTGTTGCTCTGTGATTGGGTTTAAATTCTTTTTCATTATGTACTTAAGTATGGATTCAGTTGCGATTTGATTATTAATCTATGCTTGTTTCGATTAATTATTATTGTTGGATTTTTCTATTTATGTTATGTAATAAATAAGGTTCACTTAATAAGGATAAAATTAAGCATCGGTTACAGATCTTGAGTTTTTGGGTGGTGATTCTTTATTTTTTAATACCCGAGATGTCCGGGCTAGCTTGCGTGCACCTCGACTAATTTCATGAATACCTATCACATCCCACCAACAACATGTACCAAGTAACTTAATCCACCAAGGCTAAAACAAAGACAAATGAAAAGAAATCACCTAGTGTCTCCTTTCTTTAAAAAAAAAAAACTCTTCCTCAAAAAGAAATCACCTAGTGTTTTTGTCTCTGCTAGGATTTGAACCCGAGACCTCATGGTTCTTAACCCACTTCATTGACCACTCTAATATTTCCTCTTTCTACTTTCTTTCCTATAGGTTTGTAAATCCTTTTAGATAATTGCTAATCATAGGACATTATTGTATCATATTTGACTTTCTTCTCCGCTGTGTACAAAACATTACAAACGAAAAAGGAACAATTAATGATACATATATCGCGTTTGACAAGACACAAATAAATGAAAATGAGCAGACATGGACGCATTTTAACAAAGAAATTCACTTATTTGGGCTAATGTGTTACAACTTCACAATTGCAGATGGATGATTGCTATGATCCAATAGATACACACACATCAAAAGTACAAACGAAAAACAATAACCTGCATACACATAAACATCAAACTATGTATTTAAGTGGAGAAGGGTAGAGAGGCGGGCCCATTATCCACCGAGTTTAGAAGGTTGTGATTGGTCCAAAGGGCGGGTCATAAACGGATTTCTCGGTTATCAAAAAATTTGCTTGTTGGATTAATTATTATTGATGGATGTTTCTATTTATGTTATTGGATATATGGTTTGCTCGATAAGGGGAAAATTGAGCGTCAGTTATGATCTTGAGTTTATGGGTGGTGATTCTATAACCCATAATATATAATCTCTTTG